CAATTCGTGCACACTTTACCTTGAAATGTGAAACTCGTTTTAATTGGCCTTGAGCAATTTTTTTTTAGTTTAATCAGCAATCAGAATCTACATTCTATAGGCTAATATTATGAATGTTGAGATGACATGATGAGGAGGCGTCCAGCAGCGAATCCTCGGGAGTTCAAATCAGGTCAATTGGTCAGTTTCGTTTGAGTCGTCTGTTGTCTTCTCTTGTCGATAGCGTCTTTAGAAGTGGATTTTTGTGAGTTATGATTTTGTTGTGATGTCTGTTGCTTTTTTGTTGGATGACGTCTTGTACGGGAGATATACCGAGATCGGTGTGGAGAGTTGCGTTGGAGACATACCATGGTGCGTCGACTATCATTCGTATGATCTTAGATTGGCTTCTTTGGATTATTGCTGTGTTGGATTTGCTGGCGCAGCCCCATAGCTCCAGGCCGTACGTCCAAACAGGAATGATTATAGTCTTGTAGATGAGGATTTTATTTTCGACTGATAGCTTTGATTTCCTGCCTGTTAGCCAGTTTAGCTGTTTAATGGTTAGGTCTACTTGTTTACGTTTCTTGACTATATGCTGCTTCCATGTTAGTTTGCTATCTATAGTCATACCTAGGTATTTTATTTCTGTTTTGCGTGGTATTTGGATATTGTTGATATATATGTCAGGTGCCGGCTTTTTTCGTAGGGTGAAAGTTATGTAGCAAGTCTTGTTTTCATTTATTCTCATGCGCCACTTCATGGATTTTTGTTGACTGACAATATAGCTATATCATTGGCAAATGTTCCAACAGTTATATTTGGGGAAGTAGGTAGATCAAATGTAAATAAGGTGTATAAAGTTGGGCCAAGGACACTGCCCTGTGGCACGCCTGCTTTTATCGGTTGTGGTTCAGATTTTTCGTTTCCCACTCTTATTTGAAACTTCCGGTCACTTAGGTAGGATTTAAGAAGATTAAAATAGGATGGTGGAAGGATTTGTTTGATCTTGTATAGCAGACCACTGTGCCACACCCTGTCGAAGGCCTGGCTGACGTCTAAGAACACTGCTGTACAGTAGCTTCTGTCGTCTAAGACTTTGTTGATGATATTTGTTAGAAGATGGATCTGCTGTATGGTAGAATGGCCTTGACGAAATCCAAACTGGTGGTGTGGAATCCACTCTTCTGGCCTCAGATCTTTGTTTATTCTTCTGAGTATATATTTTTCAAAAACTTTGGACGTCGCTGATATGATGCTGATTGGGCGGTATGAAGTGATTTCTGTTCGATCGTTTCCTGGTTTGGCAATCGTGATTATTTGTGAGGTTTTAAAGTGCTTAGGCCAGTAGGACATTCTTATTATTCCATTAAAGATGTAGGTTAGTAGTACTATTCCTTTTCTTGGTAGTTCCTTTAGCATTTTTGGTGTGACTTGGTCTAGTCCGGGTGTTTTTTTAAACCCAAAGAGTTGATCACTTCTTTAATTTCCTTCGGAGAGGTGATTGTTACAGTTTGTTGTTTTTCTATGGTAGCTGCTAAGTTTTGATCTATTTCCCGGTCACTTGCCTCATTATGCGGAGTAAATATATTGGCAAAATATTTTGCAAAGAGTTCAGATTTCTCTTTATTATTTCTTGCCCAGGGGCCTGCCGTTGGTGTTGTTTCTCGTATTGGTGGCGAGGATTCTTTAGGTTTTTTTATGTTTTTAATAGGCTTCCATATTGAGTAATCATACCGACTGAGGTTTTGTATGTAATCCGTAAAGGATGCTTCTCTCAGTTCTTTTAGTTTGGCTTTTAGCTTATTTGTCAACTGGTTATATCTGGTTTTATCGGTTGGGTTGTGGGTTCGGTGCCATATCGCTCTTGCCTTTCTTTTGTCCTTTAGAAGTTGTTTGATTTCTAAAGGAGCACTGTTGATACTTCTTTGTGATTCCAGTGGCGGCGTGGATTGAATAGCGGCTTGTTGCATGACTTTTGTTAGTGTTTCAATTGCAAAATCTAGGTCTTCGGCATTCTTCAGCGTTATTTTTAGATTTATATTGTTGGTGATTTCCCAGTTGGTTTTATGGTTGTGTAAACTTGAAGTGTTATGTCTGTTTATCACTGAAGAACTTATCGTCGTTATTATGGGAGTATGAGCTGATGAAAGTTCAAGATTAGGAACTGTGCCTGTATATGCTGCCGAAATTCCTTTTGTTACAAAAAAGTCTAGGAGGTCTGGTGTTTTTGCAGGGTGAGTTCCACTTGAGATATATGAATAGTTATTGTCCTTCGTGGTCGTTAGTCTTGAGCCCCATGTGACGTTTTTGCTGTTATAGTCTCCTCCAGCTAAGAATCTCNTCTTTGTGCCCAATGAGACCATTCGCATTCCAGAGCGCTATTCTCAGAAACTTAGTTATTATTTCAGTTTGCTTATTAGCGTGGTTAGCATGTTAAGTACTAAGCTATTTTGCTGTATAAGTTCATGAAACATCTGTTTGAATTCTTCTAGAAATTTGCTTAGAGTTATGTTTTGGCTGTTGTCGTTCTGACCTCTGGTTACGTCTGCGTAGGATCTGTTTACTCTAGGAGGCAGGATTGATAGTGTGTTGGGTAGGGGGGCAGTAGGGTGAGGGTTGCGTTTTTTGGGTTGCATTTCAATTTTTAGTTAAGTTGTGGTAGTATTCACAGCCCTTGTAATTTGCGGGATGCGATCCTCCACAAAGGCCACATTTTGCCGGGGTGTCTTTACTCTTTTTGCAAGCTGTTGAATTGTGATGTCCACCACATTTGACACACAGGTAAGGCCTATTGCAATAGGTCTTAGAATGGCCGTACAACTGGCATCTTGTGCACTGGATTATGTGCTTGGATTTATTAGGCGGTTCGATTTCAATGATTTTGTTTTGGGGACTTCCTTGTTGTTTGCTGGCTCTAAATCTATAAAGAATAAGTTGAGCGGTTCTTTAGTTTGACGATACTTTGCATTGATTATGTTTCTGACCTTGTGGCCTAGTTCAGCTAATTCTTCCGTTATGTCCTGTAGTTCTACCGTATGGTGTAGGTGCTTTATGACCATTTTATAGGCCCTTTCGTCTCTTGGTTGGTACGAATGGAATATGATGTTGTTTCCTCTCATAAAGTTTATCATCTTTCTGTATGTTTCTGGGGAGTTGCAGTTTATTTTGATTATGTTGTTTGTCATTGACCTGGTGCTGTAATTCTCTTCTTCTGTTACCACGGCTAAGTGATTTATCATCTGGGGATAGTTTATGACGTCGTATACGAATATTGGTGGTGGCCTGGGAATCTTTTTTGTTGTGTTTGCGTTCTCTGTTTCATCTTCATTTACTGTTTCATTTGGAAGTAGGTCATATCTGTTGTTTGTTGTTACTGTTGCTTCTGGAGGATTGTTGATTTGGATGACTTTGTTTTCCTTCGTTTGGTGCCTCTTACTTTTTGCCATGTTGTAGTGTTAGTAGTTTCAGTGATGTCCCCGTCTTGTTCATCATCAGTGGTGGGGGTTGTTCTGTGCAGTTGGTTGCATTGATTTGTTAATGACATTAGGTCATCTATAGTCGGTTGGGAATTGCATGGGAGGTTGAATGCGCTAGGTAAGAAATGTTGGTTTTGCATGTGTATTGGAATTTGTGTTGGTGGAGTTACTTGACTAATGATTGTTGGTTGCCACTGGGTACTTACGGGTTGATACATTTGAAAGTTGTTGCATCCTGGTCCATTGCTGGCTGGTAGCATTTCTTGTCCGTATTTAGGTTTCTTCTGATTTGATTTGACTCTTACAAATCGCCACTGAATATATTGTAATTGGTTGTATTGCTAATACGTTTTGATTTTCAACTGAGCACTGTAGTTAACTCTCTGTCTCACTCGGAACTTCAGATCGGTAACCTCTTAGCTCTCACAACACGTCCGTTCACTCGGAGCGCACGAACGAGAATGCCTTGAGCAAATAAGCATTTTCTTTGTGTTTTAAGAAATATAATTTAAAACAAAGAATTCGATTATATAACACAGGATTTCTCACTTTTTAGCCGACTTCTCCTATTCTGAAAAAAGTAAAGCTTATGAGATAAACTTGCTCTCTGTAAAAACGTTTCCGCGGAAACAAGTACGCAGCAACAGAAGACACTTTGAACACATTATGTATGCGGTTCGTGTCACATCAAAGCAAAGTAAGAGATCAGTTCTTCCCAGAAATTCTTGCTTCTTGTAATATATGTAACATACGCTACTTTTACCAAATCGGGTTCGCTGATCACAAAAATTATAATAAAGATGACATAATACTATCGCGTATAGACCCGTTGGTAGACAGCTACCGCGAAACAAGCAACGAGCCAACGGCCGTTGCTAGGCAGCGGCCTGCGCGCCAATGAACTGGCTGAAAAACGGTGTTTTCTACGCTGTTCTCGCTAATGGCTTAACACGACAGAATTGGTACAGTAACGGAGGAAAGCAGATCAGATCATATCAGGAGATCAGATGGAGTTGATCGATCTGGGAGATTGATTCGGAGTGTAAGTTCTGCAGTCCACAGTAGTCCACAATCTAGGAGGATTGAGAGGATTGTCTGTTGGATTGTTGTCGAGAGTGATCGAACTAACTGGGTGACTATTCTGCTGCTAGAGTGCAAGTATATTGATCGTTCAGCCGGGTTGCGTGGGTCGCGTGAGTTAAAGTGTTCACTTCCTCGTACATTAGCCGTAGTTGGTAAAGTGCGCAGAACCAGTAGAGTGATTGGCGTGGCTAGTGCATCGGAAATGGGGCCGTCCCGTTTGCAACGGACTTTCAAGCAGGCGAAAAGACGGAGCCGACCTTGTGTGAAACGCGATGGAGGGCAATAGTGGCTTCCTTTGGGAGGAACCACGTAAACTTAAGAAAGAGCAATCCTGACTGCCAGGAAGATATCAACTTACTGGGGAAAGGATTACAAACTATAGGGCAGCTTATGGGTACCTCGCCCTCAATAAACGGAAACGGCGCAGTATGGAATAAACTTATAACGAAATCCGAGGCCGAAAGGACAGTGCTCTGTAAGCACCTCGACGGCAAAGCTCTCTTTACAGCCATGCTGCGCCTCTATGCTGCCATCCACAGGGAGATGCGAGAGTCTCTCCTGCTGGAACAAAAAGAAGAATCAGCCGAGGAATTTCGCGAGCAAAAGAAGGCGCAAGCGAAACCCTTCAGAAGAGCAGAAGAAAAAGCCGAAGACGGCACCTGGCTCGAGGGGCCCTAGAATAAAATTCCAGGGTGAAGTACAAATGAAGAACTTCTTTGCGCCCCTGAGGACAACAGGAATGGACGTGGAGGCGACAGCCAACAAGTCGGGAGAACAGCAGCCATCGGACAAGTCAGGTAGGGCGCCTCCAATTGTACTAACCTCCACGACAAACCTGATGCAGTTGCAGAGGAAGGTTAAAGACCTAGTCAAGGGCAATTTTGAGTTCCGCAACACCAGGAGCGGGACCAGAATTGTCACGAAGGAAATGGCGGACTTCTCAGCCATCAAAAAATTCCTAGAGAGTAACAATCTCTCGTACTTTACCTACTATCCAAAGTCTGAGAAACCCATCAAAGCTGTTATCCGTCACCTTCCACCAAATACTCCAGCGGAAGATATCTCTGACGGTCTGGTGAGTCTGGGGTTTGACGTCATTAGCGTCAAACAAATGACAACCAATCGTCGGACTCCTCCTGAAGGAACAAATACCATTAACCTTCCCTTGTTTCCTGTCACACTACCTAGAATGGAGAAGTCCCAAGAACTCTTCCGGCTGACCAACCTCTGCCACATTGCCATTAAGGTAGAGGCGTACGAAGCACAAAGCGGGCTCACACAGTGCTACAACTGCCAGCAGTTCGGCCACGTTTGGACAAACTGCAAGCAACCCGCACGTTATTCGTGGTGCGGAGGCGGTCACCTACACAAGAAGTGCCCAGAAAAGGGGAACTCTGCCTCCACTGCCGATTGGCGGAGGGAGAAAACTCGCATCCCACCAATTATCGGGGTTGCAGATACGCCAAGGAGGAGCAGCAAAAGGGAAGACACAGAGACGGCCCAGAACTACCACAGGGAAGGTGTTCTCATCAAACGTCATCACTCCAGGTGTCTCCTTCGCGGTGGCACTCAGAGGCGGCGCAAAGCAACATCCCCAGACAAATCCCGCTCCGGTGGCTTCTACACCCGCAGCAAGAAAGCAAATTGTACCCACCCCTGCACTGCAACAGGAATCAGGTCAGTCGAGGCTCCTCATGTAAACAGTCCATCTCTCGACAAAATGGTGAGAGTAGTGACTGTAGTACAGCAGATTATGACAGAGGTCAGTGGTGCAGTGTCCGAGGAGGACAAAATAATGGCCATTATTATTATGGTCACTAGAGTTCATAGGCCCCTCAAAGTCATAGCATTTAATGCGAACGGCATTGGGAGGCAACGCTATGAGCTCAGTAAACAGCTGCAAGACCTACACGTAGATGTGGCCCTGTTTTCAAAGACACATCTGAAACCTCATGAGAGGTTCTTTATTCCAAATTACCACTTTTATAGAATCGACCGCCACTCGGGCAGAAAAGGCGGAACTGCCGTTGGAGTAAGAAAAGGCATTCCCCATAACCATGTAGACCTACCACCCTTTGTTTCAGTAGAAGCGACAGGGGTCTGCATACCAATTGGAAATAGCGAAGTGCTGCTTGCAGCTGTTTATAAATCTCCAGGCAAAGCCTGGAGTGATGCTGACATCATTGAGCTCTTAAGCTTCAGACGTAAGTCCAATATGGCATGTGATTTGAATGCTAAGAACCCATTTTGGAATAGCAGAGTTTCAAACCCCTCAGGCTTGAAACTTATGGATTTATTTGATATGAGTGATTTCGAAATCTCAGCACCACAGTGCCCCACTCATTATTCCCCTGCGGGAAATGGTGACGTGCTGAATATTGTGGTTCACAAGAATATCAGAGTGTCGGATGTCATAGTTTCTGACATTTTGGATTCAGATCACCTACCAATAGTATTCCACATACTGGATCACGTTAAGATTAGGAATCTTTCGGAACCTATTGAGAAATTTACAAATTGGGAGCGGTTTCAAAGCCTAGCCTCTGAGTTAATATCACCTAAATTAGAAATTAAGTCAGGGGTAGAAGCCGATAAAGCGGCACGCGACTCTGCAGCTTCTATTGCTTAGGCATATAGGTTGTCGACAAGTAAAGTTACACTTTCGGATATAAACAGCGATCTACCCGGTCTAGATCGTTTGATAAAATATAAGCAGAGGCTACGAAAATTGTGGCAAGAAACCAGGGATCCAGCGTGTAAAACGGCAGTCAATTGGGTCACCAAATCAATCAGGCGAATGACCCGTGAAAAGGCACTTGAACGGTGGGAAACAAAAATAAATAACGCACAAGTCATACTTCAGGGTATATGGCCCATTGCGAAATCTCTCTTAAAGAGAGACGGACCAAGGGCGCCAACTGCTATTCATGGTTCTTCTGGCCTTAAATTTCACCCTTCTGAAAAAGCCAACGCAATTGCCGACTGCTTGGAAATTCAGTTCACGCCACATGATCTGTGCGACGATAACCATGAACGGCGGGTGGAGGCTAGAGTTCAAGCTATGCTGGAAACTGTACACGACATACCCACTCAAAAGATCAGACTAAGTGACGTACAGAAATTAATAAAATCTCTGAAACTAAAAATGGCCTGCGGAATTGACGGCATCCCAAATGAATGCCTCAGGCACCTTCCAAGACGACCACTGGTTCATCTAACCCATTTATTCAATCACTGTCTTCGGCTTTCGCATTTTCCAACCACTTGGAAGGAAGCAAAAGTAATAACTTTACCTAAACCCGGTAAAGACCCGAAACTCCTTCAAAATTTACGTCCGATCATCCTCCGGTCCACGACAGGAAAATTATTCGAAGAAGTAATTTTGACTTTCCCCCAAAAACATATTGAAGAAAGAGGCCTACTTAACGCAAGCCAGTTTGGTTTTCGTGCACGTCACAGCACGACATTGCAATGTATGAGGCTGGCGGACCACGTGACCCTTAATTTCAACAACAAAATGTCTAGGGCTGCGGTGTTCTTGGACATCGAAAAAACCTTTGATACCACGTGGCACTCAGGATTCCTGTATAAGTTATCAAAATTGGAATTCTCGAACAGGTTGACCAAACTTTTTGGGTCCTTTTCTTTCTAAACGTAAATTCAGGGTCACGGCTGAAGGTGAAATGTCAACGCCAAGAGAAATGCAAGCAGGGGTGCTACAAGGTTCTGTCCTTTCCCCTACTCTTTTAACTTGTATATAAATGATGCCCTCCAAACACATGGTGTTCACCTGGCCCTCTTTGCGGACGACACCTGTCTATATGCGACAGATCGCAAGGAAGGCTTTATTGTTAGAAAACTCCAGCTCGGTCTCAGCTCAATGGAGACCTGGTGTGAGCGCTGGAATATAAAAATTAATGACGATAAGACCCAGTTGGTCTACTTCTCTCGTGGTCGTCGACCGCCTGAGTCTTGTCTTACTCTAAATGGAAGAAATATTCCATTTGTAAATAGTGCAAAATATCTAGGTGTAATCTTCGATAAGAGAGTTACATGGAGATTGCACATAAAAATGATCGAAGCCAAGGCCTTCAGAACATTCATTAGGTTATATTCCCTATTCAGAAGTGAGCGATTGAGCACTAATATTAAACTAACCCTCCATAAATATCTTATTAGGTCCGTAATGACTTATGCTAGTCCCGCCTGGGAGTTTGCGGCAGACACCCATCTAGTGAAATTGCAGCGCCTGCAAAACAAGGTTCTCTGCACCATTGGCAATTTTCCAAGGCGCACACCGGTCCGCGATTTGCACATGGCATTCAAAATCCCGTACGTATATGACTTTATAACAAAATTATGCAGGCAACAAGCAGAAGTCATACAAAATCATGATAATGAGAATGTTCGCAACATCGGACAAAGCGAAGTCCGCCACAGGAAGTATTAGAGGCTTAAACTTGGCGGCGGTCAGGCATACGACCGTTCAAGTGACTAGATTGCCGTGGTAGCGAATAATACTAGAAAAAGGGCATAATCTTCTGTACCGAGCCTGGACTAACAGAGGCCTTTTATATATTGTACATAGAAGTAAGGAATAAGTGTGTATTTGTAAATGTATGTAAATACAGACAGTGGACTTATGAATACAGACTGACTGACAAATGACAGACCCGACCTCTCGTCAGAGAGGGCGCCCCACATAGACAAGACAGTAACTTCATTCAAAGGAATATCTGGTCATCCCTGGGGCTCGACACCAAGACAGACAGACTGACCGACCGTCGGTTGCAACATGACTTTGACTTTGACTTGAGTAACGGAGGAACGGTGTTTTCTGTGCAGTTCATGCCTAGATATTATAAGCAGACCAATTAATGGAGCGAGTGCAGTCGAGTTGAGTGAAGTGAAGAGTTGGTTGTTGAGTTAGTTAGTCCGAGAACTGCAGTTCAGTCGTTGTGAGATGTTGCTGTTAGAAGCTGGTAGCTGGGGCACGAGGATAGTTCGGGAACACAATAGTAAGGAGAACGTCTGCCGTTGAAGCCGTTACCAGGCAACGACTGGCGGAGACACGTTAGATTTGAAAAGACTAAAGTGTGTATAGCGATTGCTCTGTAGTTACTTGTAGTCACCATCTATAAGTTGTCAGTAAATCCAATTGCCAATCCAAACCCCGTCTGTATTCACTCATATACGAGAGAATACGAACAGTTTATTTGTTATCCTCTTTCAGTTTTGTATAGAAGACTGGGAACATACACACCGTTAACAACGTGACTATTTTAGAGGTTATGTTATCACGCTGACAGCAGCTCAGACTACATAGCGTCGAATGGTAGGATGACCGATGTATGATGAATTGGAAAACATGTAGAATGAAGTAGTCGTGATTTATTTCAGAACACTATGCTAGCATTCCTCTGCAGGAAGTGATGAAAACCAAAGATAACCTCAGTCATGAAGTCTGCGTCCCGTTCGAGATTCGATACGAGCACCTCCCAAATACAAGTCTAGAGTAGTTGCATGATGTTGTATTTTAGCGTCCTGTTGCACTGATTTTCGTCCATGATATATATACAGTGTCCGTCTTGCAGTGCATCCACTTTTACCTGTCACTTCACAACATGTTTCGGCACCATAGTGCCATCATCAGGTGCTCCATTTACACTAATCTATTGCATTGCATGCCATTATGTCAATGTAAAATTATTTAAAAAGTATTTTAAAATATTCGTCAGTTATAATAAATTTTTTGTATACTAAAATCTTGTTAAGATATTCATCTTATCTGTCCCAATTCAAACCCCGCGCATGGTTCCTCCGCTGTGGAAGTCGTTCCTCTTATATGCCGTGTGTATCTTGTCTCGTGATGCGTGTTCCCTCTTTGGCTGCGGGTGTTGTAATGTCAACACTGCAAGACGGACACTGTATATATATCATAGAGTAACTACTATATGATTCTGACGATGGTGTATAACACACAGAGATATTGGGTTTTCGGACTTTATCCATCGTCCTGTTTTTTAAGATAACTAAGAAAAACACGACGTTTCGGAAACTGGAAAGAGCTAGCACTTTCAAAGGGACCCAACAGAATAGGTGTTCTCCCTCACCTAAGGACGGAAACAGATCCAGTTTCCGAAACGTCGTGTTTTTCTTAGTTATCTTAAAAACTAGGACGATGGATAAAGTCCGAAAACCCAATACCTCACAAGTCTAGAGATTTGCCTCTTGTTCAGTCTGTTCAGTTAATCTTTGTTTAGTTTGTGGTCATAATATTTTATGAAGATCTGAAATTATGAACCTCATGCACAGTATTCTTAATCCTCCTCTTTTAGTTCGTATTATTCATGGTCTCTTCTTCTGAAACAGTCTCAGTCCATGTTCTCCCAATTGAAATAAGAGCAATCATCTGTAATTAAATCTGATTTTCAGTGTAATGGACCAGAAGGCAACTTACCAGATATTTGTGATCATTTTACTTCTGAGCCACATAACACAAGCAGAGAGACGTAACTTGGGACTTTTAGAGGGGCTGGTGAAGTTCGTTCAAGAAGGAACACGTCATTTCCAGGAGGAACCACAAGATGCAGCAACGGTTCTCCCAGAGTATGATTTTATCATCGTGGGCGCCGGGTCAGCTGGTAGCGTCGTGGCTAATCGACTGTCCAGAAACCCAGATTGGAATGTGCTTCTTATAGAGGCAGGCCGTCCCGAAAACTATGTAATGGACATACCAATTATGGCTACATTTTTTCAGTTTAGTGACGCAAATTGGAAATACAAAATGGAACCATCTAGCACTGTGTGTCTAGGTATGGAAAACAGGCAGTGCACATGTCCACGTGGGAAAGTTGTTGGGGGTAGCAGTGTTGTAAATTTCATGATCTATACTCGAGGAAACAAAAGAGACTACAACAACTGGGAAAAACTAGGGAATTCTGGCTGGGGATACAAAGATGTACTACCCTACTTCCTTGAGATTGAGGAAATGACTATTCCAGAACTGACTAAAGACACCCGGTTTCATTCCACTAGGGGCGAAGTGACCATCAGCTACGCGCCATTCCACACCCCTCTTGCTGACGCATTCGTGGAAGGAGGAAGGGAACTGGGACACAGGATAGTGGATTATAACGGCGAAACACAGACAGGATTTAGTCTCTTGCAAACTACCAAAAGGAATGGTACCCGTTGGAGTGCTTCCAGAGCGTTTCTGCATCCCATGAGAGACCGGAACAATTTTCATTTGAAGAAGAGAAGTCAAGTGACCAAGATTCTCATCGATCCAAGCACGAAGACTGCGTACGGCGTGGAGTTCGTCCAGAACAAAAAGAAATACGTAGTCCGTGCTAAGAAGGAAGTAATTCTGTCAGCAGGAGCTGTTAATTCGCCACAACTCTTGATGCTGTCCGGTGTAGGACCAAAGCAGCACCTCACGGCACTCAATATTCCCGTCATAGAGGATTTGAGCGTTGGATATAATCTTATGGACCATCCCGGATCACTCGGTTTGACTTTCACTGTGAACCAGTCGGTAGGCTTAATTTTAAATGAAATGCTGAATGACGGTTCAAGTTTGGTTGAGTATTTAAATTATCATAAGGGCCCCTTTTCTGTTCCTGCAGGATGCGAAGGAATAGCTTTCATTGACACGAAAAATCCAAGTGATGTTGACGGTGACCCTGATTTGGAGATCCTTTTTTTCGGGGCTAGTCTTTTATCTGAAAAATCATTATACAAAACGTTAGGCATTAGAGAAGATATTTATAAGACCGTTTACGAACCTGTGGAAGATACTCATAGCTGGTCAGGAGTTCCATTAACATTGAAACCGAAAAGTAGAGGCAGAATAATGTTGAAATCTGCAAACCCTTTCCACAAGCCTCTAATTTATTACGATCTTTTTGAAGATCCCCAAGATTTAGAGATGCAGCTTCTTGGAATTAAGAAAATTATAGATCTCAGTAACACTAAAGCGTTTCAAAAATATGGCTCAAAGGTCCATAATTATCCAATACCTGACTGCAAACATTTGGAATTTGGGTCGGACGAATATTGGAGATGTGTTATCAGGCATTTAGCAGTCGGAATATGGCACTTGAGTGGAACATGCAAGATGGGCCCCATTTCTGACCAATCTTCAGTCGTTGACGAGAGGCTGAGGGTATACGGTATAAACAGGTTGAGAGTAATAGATGCCTCCATCATGCCAGTGGTGCCAGCGGCCCACACGAACGTCCCAAGTATGATGTTAGGAGCTAAAGGGGCGGATATGGTGATCCAGGATTGGAAAACCGGATACCTTAAAAACTAATCATTGTTAGCTTTGTCTTGAAATTATGATTTACTACTCACTGTATAAGGTCTTAACATTGACGATGATCTGAATATTTTATTGACAGAATGGCGTGGTACTTGGCAGTATTGGTGATATTTCAAATATCCTCGGTGTCTCCATCTAGTAGGCAAAGTGATTACTAAGTTCTCCTGCCGATGTTATGGTGTGCTGTATCCAGTGTTGCAGGAAAAAGCAGCTGGAACTCAAAGGAAGATCTTAAAGGGTTGATATATTTCTCAGGGACTTCACGCAGGCATCTGTTCTTCTGCATGATAAGAAAGCAACAACATATTGTAAGAAAACTTTAATTCAACATAAAGCAGAATAACTAATAATTCTGTCAGATGAAAATAAAATTAATATACATTCTTTTTCTGAGTTACTTAGAAAATTCCCAAATTAAAAACATTTGAAAGTACGTAGTGCGTCTAATATATGTGAATAAATGAGAAATCGAAGTAATTAATTCTTAAATAACTCAAAACGGAAAATATTCCAAGTGTATATGCAAGTTGCAGACCTTAAGCGAACAATCGTGATGGCCGACCACCACGCAACAAAATATCTCCCCAACAAGAACATTCAGAAACAGTCACAGCCAGCAAGCCAAACAAAGAGAAAAATGGAGATGCTGTTGTGGCATATAGAGCCCTTGCTAGGCAACGAACGAGAAACAAACAACGAGACAACAGCCATTGTTAGGCAGCGTCCCGCGCCCAACAATGGAAGTAATGTTGGAGGCGGTGATTTCTATGTGGTCCGCTCCGAGCCTGTATCACGCGACCGACGTGCTGTGGTTAACTGCTGAGTGTATGAATTAGCGATAGCACTATATGATCTGGAAGTGTGCAATAAATCCAATTACGAATCCAAATCACATCTATAGTCACACTCAATCACGTCACAATACTAAAGAGCAGAAGGTCAGATTTTAAAAAGCAGACAACGGAATTCATATTAAGGTGTCTGTAAGTAAAACAAAAAATTCGTGGCTTCAGTCCGCAAGCGAACTATAACTACCGAGCGACCGCCGCTTGTCGGCGAAGTTAGTGCCAACTTCAGCGGATAGAGGATGTCGCCTGGTCTGCGCAACGGATCCCCACGGCCGTTAATCTCGGTTTTCTAGACCGGGGCCGCTATTTCCTTGAAATAGCTCCTCAGTTATCCTCACGAGGGTGAATGGACCCACTACTTCTCAGAAAATTTGGTAGCGCCGGGAATCGAATCTGTAGCCAGGAACTCTGACCACTAGACCACGGCGGTCCTAAAGAGTTATTAAGTACTGTATGTTGCCTGACTGCAACCTGGAGCCTCGAAGTCGAACGCGTCGGGCCGTCCCGCCCATAGCCGGTGGCTATACCCTCTGCGCTCTCCCAGCTCCTCATACTGAAATAATTATGAAACCCATTAACCCACTAACTAAATACTTGGAGCTGAGCTGAGCCTTTCTTGAGAAGCCGCCAGTTGCGCAAACATCAAACTGATAGACGGTTACAAAGTCAATAGAAAGTCCGTCCAGTGTAACAATTTGTAGGTCACTTCTTTATCACTTCTGCCTTACATGTTTCGGTTTAATACAACCATCATCAGAGGCACATAGTACAATCATGAAAACACTGTCGTTGTTTAAGATGTACACAGTTATGTTTGCTGCGTGGACGCTGCTACAATATGTCGACGTGTAAAAGCACAACACTTGCTAGGATTGTTGAATGCACTATCAATTCTCGCATTCCATCCGAAACTTCCCTCAAGTTTAAAAACGTCAATGTTAAAATATTTAAAAATTTAAAACATTTGATGTGAATGTTAAGCTCCTCCTTGTTGATTCATCCCAAAGATGGGAGATGTCAGCTTGAGGTATATGTCTTGTGGTTAGATGTTTCCAATGTGCTGTGTGTTGTGTACAATTCAAAATGATAGACGGTTACTTTCTGTTACTGTTGTTTTTCAGTTCAGTCGAATATTACTCTCACTTCAGTGCAATGAAACACAACATAGCATGCACTTGTATGAGCTCCAGATGATGCCTAAGGAATAACAGAAAGATATCCCGTTGAAAGTGGAAATGCAGTATAGTAACTCTATGGAAACTGCACCATAGCTCAAGCGGTTAGTCGCTGGCTTCTCACCGCGGCGGCCCGGGCTCGATCCCGGGTCTGGTCAAGTGGGATTTGTGGTGGACAAAGTGGCGCTGGGGTATGTTTTCTCCGAGTACTTCGGTTTCCCCTGCCAATCTTTTTTCCACCAAAATCTCCATCATCATAATCACCTGGGGCAGGCTACAATAGGCCAATCAGTGGCCGCCTTGCCGAGTGGACCCAGTTGGACTCCATCCCCCACTAAGCGAATTAAAAAAAAAACTGGAGATAAACCCTTCTTGAGAAGCTGCCAGTTGTGCAGCTGCTCAAGAACTTCGCAGCGTTTTATGGAACACGAAGGTTCATCACCGTGTTCACAAGAGCCCTCCACTGGTCCCTATCCTGAGCCAGATCGATCTAGTACATACCACCCCAGCTTATCTGTCTAAGATCCATTTTATTATTATCCACCCACCTACTCCATGGTTTTCGTAGTGGTCTCTTTCGTTGTGCTTTCGAATGAATATCCTTCAGGCATTCATGTTCTCCCCCATTCACGCTAAATGCTCAGCCTATCTCATCCTCCTTGACTTGATCATTCTAATTATACTTGCAGAAGAGTACAAGTTATGAAGCTCCTCGTTATGCAGTTTTCTCCAACCTCCTGTCACGTCATCTCTCTTCGGTCCAAATATTCTCCTCAGCGCCCTGTTTTCAAACACCCTCAGTCTATGTTCCTCCCTTAAAGTCAGAGACAAGGTTTCACACCCATACAGAACCACAGCAAAATTTTAATTCTGTATATTCTAATTTTTATATTTTTAGACAAACGAGAAAGCAGAAGGTCCTAGACCGAATGGTAGCAAGCGTTACCTGAGTTCATTCTCCTCTTAGTTTCCTCCTGAATCAATTTCCGAGTTGTCACCGTCGTTACACAAATTAATTGTAACAATTTACAATAAATCCAGATTTTCCACCTGATGTTTCGACCATACATGGTCATCATCAGGCGGAGTCCAAATTCACGCACTTTCTTGATATACTACCAACTTAGCACATCAGTGAAATACACGTATACTTTTACGAGAATGGAAGAGTTATGTCTTCTGGGATATAACACAATGTAGTCCATTAAATGTCAGCTGATGTTTCGGAGGATTATATTGACTCCATCTTTATGGTTGAAGAGTAAGTCCAGTATGAATCGGGTAGCTTTCTCGCCGTGATATGTGATCAAGCTTCTCTCACGGCCTCAGCGCATGGGATCCAGTACGTTCAGTGAGGTGCATCTGAAGCACCACGCCAGAGACAGATAGAAGAGGAATGGAGGTAAAGTTACAGTCATTCTTAGTTGGTTGAGGCTCTATTCTACAAGCCTGAAGGTCGTGGGATCGATTCCCGATGAGGCCATTGGATTTTTCAAATGGTCTAATCCTTCCAGTCGCATTATTGCCCTGGAGTCTACTCAGCCTCTAACAGAAATGAGTACCAGGAATCCTCCTGGGGGTAAAGGGCGGCCGGGGCGTAAGGCTGATAACCTCATCGCAATTTATGAGCCGAGTGTCTAGGAAATGTGGGAGCCTCGACGTCCCACGATACTATGGACTTTCACTGCCTGTTACAGGGAGAGCTTTACCTTTATTTTTATGTTCATCACAGCACCAAGCAGAGGCATCTGAGGAGAATAACGTTCTTATGTGCTTCACTCTCGAAGTGTGTTATGCCCTTAAGACAATTACGGGTTGGGAAGGCGAGAGAGCTCAAGGCAGAAAAATCATAAATTGAACATGTTAGTCAAGGTGACGTTAGACGGAAGCAATAGTTGGTAGCAGTAAAGTAGGCAGAGTCGTGTCTAGTCAGGAGTCGGGCAACCTAGAGCAAGTCAGTCATTTTTGTGGAAGTACGTAGATCGTAGAGGATAAGCGACCGGGTTGTATTCCGTTTCAGATCCATCGTAGGAATTAGATTAGCGGCTGGAGGTCGAGTTAAAGAGCAGTTTAATCGGTTAACGCCGAGAGTTATAGGAGAGAGTCTGTAAATATGTCACAAATTGATATAAAACGTAAAACATGCGATATTCAAAACTGAAGAAAAACACGTATTTTTCTACATATTCTCCACTGACAGTGATACACTTGTCTCTTCGCTTTACCAGTATGTCGAAATCTGCAGCATAGAAGTGTTTTTACTGTTGTCTGAGCCAGATGTTTGTCGCGTATCTCGGCCAAGTTGTGAACCGCTTTACGCGACAAACACTTCCAACCCTAAGGAGGAAACATTTTTGTTTATTAATATCCTTGCATTGAGTCATTTTCCCATAAAAACGCAAAACAGGACGCAGCTTTTCGGAAGTACACTCCTCAACGACGGTCGCCATTTTGACTACTGAAACCAACATCTGAACATGTGCATGCGCATCTGCTACTAGACTGTCATGAAGCTGGACTGTGCTGCTACCTAGTGATATATATATAAAAGCTATTACGTCCATTACAGCTGTTTTACTCCCATGTGTGACCTATTTACTGACTCCCTCGTACTAGTTCGGCAGGCATGTCTGTGGCAGAATCTACAAGCAACATCCAGTCGTCATGGATAAAGCTGAGGCCTTATTCTTCATGACAATCTTCTCTGCTATGATACGTAGGCTTTTTTTTTCTTTTGATGAGACCGAGTCACCAGGTACGTTGGCCCCTACTGGCCTATTGTACCAGCCGCGGATGATAAATGATGAGTGTGGAGCAGTCGATGGAATGAGAATTGACAGGTTAAACCGTAATAGTCGAGGAAAAACTGCCACTGTGTCCGCCACAAATCTCACGTAACCTGTCCTGGGATCGAACCTGGGCCGCCACAGTGTGAAGCCGACGGCTACCCACCTGAGCTATGACGAGTAAGTGAACTTACGTAGTATAGCCAATAATCGAGCGTGACCAGAGTATGAACTTCCAAATTAGAGTAAAGAGCGTTAGACGGTGGGTATGTTGTGAATTAACTTGTAAATATTGCAAAATAATAGTAATAACATTGTCTGTGTCTGAGCTATTCTAGATCACCACCCTAAGAGATCATTGTAGGAGAATGTGGTGGCAGCCATTAGTATTGTGACGTGTATTGCTATGCAATGACTCTGTAAACACATGCCCGCCCTAAACGCGCTTCAACAATAGAGAGGCTGTTTTCTCTGTGATCCGCGCCCCAACCGTTGCTATGCAGTGGCGCGGTAAACACTCCTAAAACAATACGAGACAATAGAAAACAGTGTTTTCCGTGGGACTCGTGCAAACTGG